CGGAACTCAGAGAAGCGGTTGTCTTCTGATCAGAACCACTATCTGAGCGGAAGGTCTCTTCGGCATTAACCCAATTGCGTTCCGCACAACTGATATTCAATTTGTCTAACACTTGATTCGCTATATTGGGAACAATTGGCTGAAGAAGAATGGCAGACACTCTGAGGGCTTCTAAAGTGATGCAAAGAACTGATTGCAATCGCAAAAATTCATTGTCCTGTTTGGCCAAAAGCCAGGGTTTGGTTTCGTTAAAAAATATGTTATTCATTCGCAAACAATCCATGATATCATTGATAACTAAATGAAAATTTCCGTTCAAATAGTGATTTTCGCAATTTTGAGCTAAATTTTGTATCATTTCAATGAGTTTTGAGGATTCATTTTCAACAATCAAAAGATCATTTAAAGATAAATTGGGAAACATTTGACTCTTATTAATGGCTTTAGCTGTGCATCGACTCAACAAATTTCCAAAATTGTCGGCCAATTCTGCGTTTAAATATTTCTTTACATTAAGTTCAGTAAAATCTATGACAAAAATTCATTACAATTAGTAAATTTCAATCAAAACAATTATATATCAGTTCTGACTCGAATCGGTGTGAAGAGATCCCTGTCGTAGTAGAAAATACCGGAACCCATCGCTGGTATAGTCTTTAATACACTGGAAAGGGTCGACAACATTGCCTTTACTTTTACTCATTTTGATGTCATCTCTGAGCCAATGGGAGTGACATAAGAGAGAGTGCGGCGGTTCGAGACCGGCGGCCATCAAGAATGCCGGCCAATATATACCGTGAAATTTAAGGATATCTTTGCCAATCACCTGACAATCTGGTGGCCAAATGTGATTCTTATCGCCGGGATATCCGGAAACAGTCAAATAATTGATGAGTGCGTCGAACCAGACGTATATCTTATAAATCAAATTTATTATTAATTAAAGACTAAAATCCAAATCACTAAACAAACGCACGACTTGTTCCGAATCGTTGGGCACTTCTATACCCCAATTGACGCGTCCTTTAGGTCTGGATACAGATATGTCTCGCAATCCTTTCTCGACCTCATGTCTTAAGATATGAGCGAATACTGAGGGCTGAACAGTGTCTCCGCTGTTAATCCAATCAACAATTTTATCCTTAAATTGACTCAATTTGAAGATATAATTCTCTTCTGAAGACCATTCGACAGCATTTCCAGACTCTGTCGAAACCCTAATATTGTTTTCATTGATAAACGTTTGCGTTTCGGTGACAAACGTCTCGTCGGACACACAATACCAGCCCTCGTAAGAGGACTTATATATAAACCCATTGTTGACAAGAGTTGTCCAAAAGGTTTGAACAGAATTTCGGTGCAAATCATCGGTAGTTCTGATGAAATGAGTGAAACCAATGTCTGAGGACTCGAAAAGACTTCTAAATTGTTGTGATATTTGATCGCAAAATAATTTGGTCTCAATTCCTCTCAATTGAGCCGCTCTTTGAATCTAAACTTAAAATGAGTCAAATTGTCATCAAATTGAATGCAATTAGCGGTCAAATACTTTGATCCCGTATTCATCGGTTCCGGTCGAGAATGTTGTATTAGTTTTGCCACAAATTCGGTGAAATCGATGAAAAGTGTCGGCAATTATAGCGGAATACAAGTGTCCGATGTGTGGAACTAATGCACAGATCAGTCATCAGTGGTTAATCTGTCGTCAAATCAATTAAACAAATCAATCGATACCTGAATTGACGTAAAATATTGGAGTTGTTATGAAATATGTGTTTTGTTTGTCGTTTGAAAGCAATGAATATCTTCTCAATTGAATAAAATTCACGCATTGTTTGCATTT